AGGAGGTCCCTCTTTTTCTGTGTCCCACCCCTGCACGAGCACCAAGTGCTAGACTCGGAGCCTCGTGCCCTTGGACGGCAGTTGCTCACTCGGATGAAGCGGGTCAGTAGTGGTCTCCCCAACGGGAGCCAGGTGGCGTCTCGGTGCCCTAGCACAGCCCTCGCCCAACAGAACCAGGTGGCCGTGCTGCCGGTGCAGCTGCTCAAGGACAATGAGGCAGCTGCGCGGGACAATGTCCAGGCGGAGAATGGTTTCCAGATGAAGATGAACGCCCATGGCTTCAACCCCGAGGAGCTGGTGGTACAAGTGGACGGGCAGTACCTGATGGTGACGGGCCAGCGGCAAACGGAGGGCTACAACCCAGATGGGGGCCGCTTCCGCATGGCACAGAGGGTGTACCGACAAATGCAACTACCACGGGACCTGGATCCCGCCGCCATGACCTGCTGCCTGACGCCCTCGGGCCATCTGTGTGTCCAAGGCCAGAGCCAGGCGCTGCCTTCCGCTGAAGCCCCAACAGGATCGTCCTCTAGATTGAGGAGCCCGGGGCCCTAAGGGTTCCAACCCAGCCTGACCCAGTAAACCACCACCCTAGTGAGCAGCAGCCTTAGCATCTATGGTCTTTTCTTGGGGTTGGGGCTCAGAGGTGGAGGTATAACAAAAGTAGAGGTAGGCCAGAAAGGGAGCTCAAGATGGTGGTCCACCAAAAATCAGGCCTCTGTGGCTCTGGGAGAAGCTGCAGTTGGGGGTGGGGCAGTGTTGTCCTACTCATCTCAGCTCACAGCTTGGACCAACATCCCCAGCTTTTGACAGCTGAGAGCAGCAGTGCCAGCAGGGAGCAGCAGAGGGCTGAGAAAGCCCAGGAGTCACCTTGTTCCAGAACCAGCAGAGGGCCCCCCAGAGACCTGGGACCAGATGGCTTGGACCTGGTGTGAGGTTGCTGTCTTGGCCTAATGATCAGTTCAAAGTTCCAGAGGTCATTGGTATTTCTTCCTCTTCGGGGAAGAAAGTGAGAGGACCCAGTCCCTCACGGGCCTGGTACAGACTAAACAAAACTCCCAAAGTTGGTTTCTGATGTTTCAGAGACCAACTACTTTCAAATCTGGACAGCACATCACCCCAACATAATCCGGAGGGGGTGGGAGAGAGGCAAATGCAGGACTCTCAACTTCAGACTTGGTGAGATTCAGTTCCAGGTCACTCTTACCCTACCCCCATGTCATTAGTACTGGTAATACTAAAAGCCTCATTCTCTTGGTTACCATGATCACTAGCATCCCCTCACTTGGGGGCAGGGAGCTTTTGTTTAACAAGATTCAGTGGTTCATTTTAAATTAACTTCAAGTAAGCTAGAGAGGTCTGATAAACTGCCAGAGAAAGACAAGGAAGACAAGTGGGAGATCGATTGATCGGCTGACTATATTGACAAGATACTGATTGGTTACATGTTGAAGAAAACATACAATACAAAATACAGAAAAGTTGGTTCCATCCCCTCCCACTCCCCCCCTTACCCACCCATCCCCAAATACTCATCATCGTGATTTGGTCAAAATAGGGCTCAGAGCCAGAGGTTGGGGTGACTAAGGACCAGGGGGGCGGGTTGGGTTGTAGGCAATGGGTTTGTGGCTGTCACAATAATGCTGTGGTAATGCTATGGTTTCTCTCCCAGCTGTGAGTTGGGGGGGGGAGGGAGGGCTGCAGCCTGATGCCAGCCAGCTGAGGGAAGAACTGCCTCTCCCTTCACTAGCCCCTAGGGCCTGTCCCACCTCCCAGAACCAAGCCCACTCCAAGCACGGTAAGGATACGAATGCTCTTGCTGAATATGCTCATCAGCAAGAGGAAAGAGGGAAACTACTCCAAGCCCTGCCTCCCCATGTACAAGGGTGGAGGGAACAGGGGCCCATGGCTACTACCAGCAAAGGGAGAGTGGGAGAGCAGTAGAAAGGGCATGAAGTGGGAAGAGCAGATCATATATATTAAAAAAGTGACTTAAGACTTAAAGTTGAATTAGTATTTGTACAGAAAGGTGCAGGTGGAATAACTCACTCCGGCCTATGATCAAAATTATACGGAGAAATCATGGTGGACCCCTCCCCCTGCCCCCCCAGTGGTGGCCCGAGTCATTAAGTGCGATTGGTTAGAGTGGATTCCAGTCGGGTCGTTCAGGCGGAGGAAGTGGGGGCAGTGGGCAGGCAAGGGGGGCTCAGTTGCTGCAGCACTGGCTCCGGCTGGCTGGGTTATTCTCTTGGAGGTCCACACCTCGGTTCCGGCCTGGAGCACCAGCTGCATTCTGGGGCTCATTCTTGGGGAGCTTCTTAGCTGTTTGGGAGAGGAGGGAAAAATGTGTTTGTGGGGTACCCCAGTACTGTCTCCCAATTCCACTTGAGGAGAATCTGGCCTTCACCACCTAATCACTAATAACGAACGTACCGAGGGCTTCGCTTCTATGTGCCAGGTGCATTCTGAGTGTTTCAGAAAAACAGGCAAAGAGAGGTTAAGTAGCTTCCCCAGGACTAGAGTTAATAAGTGGTAAAGCTAGGACTCGAACCTAGGCAGGATGACTCCAGAGCCAAATGGGCTAAAAAAATTCTAAGAAGTGGGTAGGATGGTGATAACACAGTTTTAGGTGGGTGGCAGGCTGAAAGGTCAGGAAGTAAAATGTTGAGACTTTGGCCCAGGCTTTAGAAACTTCTGAAGTGAAATAGCTACAAATATGGGAGTCAGATGAAGAAAATGATTTTATCAGAATATTAAAAATGGTAAAAGATTTGTTGGTGAAGGTACTCCGCAAACCTACAGAATAGCAGGCAAGTGCTATGCCCTGATATGGGGAGGGGAGGAGGGGCAGCTTACCTATTGCCATGAAAATTTCATTCACGTTCATTGCAGTCTTTGCTGATGTTTCCATGAACAGCAAACTGTTGTCGTCTGCATAGGCTTGTGCTTCCTGATTTGGACAGAGGTGAGAAAGTGGGTGGGAGGGAAATGTTGACAGTTGGCAGGGGCTGGGGCCCAGGATAAAAAATCTTCCCTGATTACAGTGCCTTATATACAACAGAGACACTGCAGGGGTTTTCAGGCCTGTAGCTCTCCAGTTCTGGGTTCCCCTGAGACATCTGCCCCATCACCCCTGATCCCCACTTCAGGTACAGCACCTCTCAGCTCACGAACATCAGCAGATGTTCTACTCAGGTTTCCCTATGTCCATTTTGCCTTCTTGCTTTTCAGAATCACTAGACTAGAAAATACTTCTAGAAAGTTATCCTACAAATACAGTAGCACATTTGAACAAAAGCACAGAAGTATGTGCATATGGACCACAGCACTGTTTCCAGTCTTTTGCTATTACAAACAACTCAGAAGCCCATCAGTTAGGGACCGGTAAAAAAAAAATAAATATACAGTGTGTAGAACACACTCCGATCTATGTAAATAAAGGGATTCATACACATGTGCATATTTCTGGAAGATGAGAAACTGAGGACCTTGGGGGAAGGGAGGTTGAGTTTCAAGGGTTAGAGAATTAAACTTCATTCTATATACCTTCTTGCACTGTTTAAGTTTAACATAAAAGTATAAAGTATTACATAAAAAAATATTTCTTTTTCAGTAAGTTTCATTTAAAAGTCAGTTTACAGAAAAAATAAGCAAAAGCTTCAGCTATCCATACGCACATACACCCTTACTGACAACGAACAAGGAGAGGCAGACAATTCCGTCCTTTCTGCCCATGCTTGAGTCACAGAGGACGGCAGATAAAGCGCCCCTGCTGCCTCCCAATGTGGCCCTACCTGAAGCCCAAGCAGCCTGGGGAAATCCAAGTGGAGCTGGCTTATTCCTCCCCCAAGTCCCCAAATCCTGTCCATCCCCCCAACCTGGAATTCCACGGCTCTCTTGCTGGCCAGGTCCGCCTTGTTACCCGCGAGTGCGATGACGATGTTGGGGCTGGCCTGCCTCTGTAACTCCTTCACCCAGTTCTTGGCCCGTGCAAACGTATCCTAGGGAGACAGGGCCAGAATGTCAAAGGGACAGAGGAGGCATTCGTCCCAAGGCCACTCACTAGAGAAGCTCGCACTGGCAGAGCCAAGGTGTCTAAGATGTCACTACCCTGAAGATTCCGGTGAGATACCCACAAATAACAGAGGAAATCTGCCCACACCCCATCCAGGAACAAGGGTTGAGAAGTAAGGGGAAGTCTTTACTGTGTTGGTGATGTCATAGACCACGATGGCAGCTTGGGCCCCCCGGTAGTACATGGGGGCCAGGCTGTGATACCGCTCCTGTCCCGCTGTGTCCCAGATCTCAAACTTGACTGTTGTGTCGTCCAAGCAGACCGTCTGTGTGAGGAAGGCCGCTGTGAGAGGAAAGGTGATGGTACCAGGTAAGAAGGAGCTCGAGCAGCCATGCCCACCCATCTCCACTGCTGCGTCCGGGCTCTGGTACTCAGAAGCCTTCTGCTGAGATAGGCACAGAAAAGCCCCTGATGTGGCAGTCAAAGCACGCCTGAGCAAGGCAGGCAGAATTTGTATTTCTCTGTATACATGTCGAGGGGGCTGCGGAATGCACAGACTTTACAGACCTACGCTCAGCAAAGGCAGGAGAAGGGAAGCCTGCTTGCACTTGGGCCATTTCAGGAGCACTCTTTGAAAAATGTGGCAAGGGGCAGGAGAAGGAAAGCCCAAGGAAATCTGACTCTAGGCTCAGAAGGGTGGGCCTGGGCCCAGCCACCCACTTCTTCCACCTACCCGCCTCAGAACAGCCCAGCTGGAAACCTTCCAAGTCCCTCAGTTTGCTCCAGGCCAGGGGTGTCACTGGCCTTCTGTTTCCTGAGGACATTCTCACATATTTAGCTATGCTGGGGATGCCTGAAAGTACAGGCTGTTCCACTGCCAGGCAGAGGCTGGGTGGCCAGCTTCCTAACCACCCCTGCCACCTCCAGGCACGCTAGCTAGCCACCACCCCCAGCTCTGACCTCAACCCATTCCTGATTGGCCACCCTGTGGCTTGACCTTCAGGGAACACACTGACCCTATCTTTGGCCTGAGGAGGCAGAGGAACATGCGGCACTTGTATAAATGCTTCGAAGGGGGAGTCCCAGAGCTGAGACTGGCAGGTGCGAGGCCCCTTTGTCCTGGGACCCAGCAGCAGAGGATCCCAGAGAGCTCTGTTTTCAAAAGTCTCTCCTGTCTGCCTTCCCCCGACCTCCCTGAGGACACGGGGCTCTGCCTCACTTCCCTCTCTCTGGCTCCAGGCTCGAGTGCTGAGGAGGCAGCAGAAGACTGCTGACACGGCCCATTCGTTTCCAGCTGCCTAGAAACCTCCTACCAACCAAGAAGATAGAGAAAGGATAGCGCAAGCCCAAGGTCGGCCCTGGCCCCTTGAGGTTTGTACTGGCTACTGAGGCAGGGGGCTGAGTCCAGACCCTCAGATCCCAAATGAATCTGGGGAATCAACGACAGGCTTGGAGCCTAAGAAAGAGTAAAAGCCAGTTTCAGAAATGCCAGCCCACTCATCAGGCCATTTCCCCATTTTGGAAAGTGGGAGGCCAAGGCAGATGCACTGCTTGGCACAGTAAGAAGGACCCGCAGACATCTTGACCCAGACTCTCTCTTCGCAGAGGCTCTGTTAGTGGAAGGGTCTTCACCAAGGTGACACAAATAATTAAGAGGCAGAACCGAGAGAGGAAGCCAGCTTTGTTTGACTCCCAGCTAATTCTTGGAACTCTAGCTTGGAGACCAGCTGCTGGATTTAATTCCAAGACCCAGATGAGGAGAGGTTCTGCTGCCCCAGGAGTTTTAGTCTCTCTGGGCAGGCAGCTCCCTTCTCCTCAATGCCAAGGTCTTTCTTTGGCCTCCGCGAGGCCACCCCCGCTCCCTTGTGCCCTCTCACCTCCAATTGTGCTCTCCTGGTACTCATGGAATTGTCCCTTGACAAAGCGGAGGACGAGGCTGGATTTGCCCACTGCGGACTCCCCCAGTAGGACCAGCTTAAACTGACAGATCTTGTTCCCAGCGGCTGGTCCGTTGGGTCGCGCTGCACCTCCCCGACCCGCCATGGCCCGTCCCGCTGTAGTGGTACCAGTGAGCGTGGGGGCAGGGGCCGGTGCTATGCAGAGAGGCACTTAGTGGAGAGGGGGCCTCCAACTGTAAAGGAGAAATCAGAAGTACTAGGTTAGCCCAGAGACTATCACACAGTGAGCCCTCCTTAAATCACAGGGCTCTCCCTCTGTCCCCCGCCAAAGACCTGGCTGACCACCTCCCCTCA